AGCTGCGAGAAAGGTCTGACAAGATCGTCGCAGAGCAGATGCAAAAGAGAGAAATGGAGAAGAGAACAAAAGAGTTGAAGGAAATGCAAGGGGTCGCCGAGGAAAGGCGACGAAATGTCCTGAAGGAAAGAATATCGAAAGGTGTTGACCCGAGCGAGTCAAACGACTCAAGCAGCGGTGAACATGAAAGTTCCGAAAGCTCGGAAAAGGAGACGGATGGAAAGCCGGAGGAACCAAAGGAGACAGATGAAAAGCCGGAAGAATCGAAGGAGACAGATGAAAAGTCGGCAGGTATGGAGGACACAGGTGCTGAAACCGCTGAAGAAGAAGAGGACATCAACAAACTGAGCATACGGGACGTCGTTTTGCGGACGTTTGACATGAGCAAGTTGTCCGTTTTGCTCGAAGAGGATAAAATAGCAAAGGTTGAAGAAATCCTCGAAGTGCTTCGGAGCCCGGTGACAAGCCTACCGGAAGGTTTCGGCAGGCGCTTGAAAGCACTTGCCAGTGAGATCAAAGAATGGACTGGTGAACTTGATTTTACGGTGCAGAGTACCGAAGATGAAATTGGAAAAGCGAACCAGCTACAGGATAAGGCAACTGAAGACAGAGAAGCCGCGTTGGTGAAGTTGGCAGAAGCCCTTAGCCTCTAGACCGAGGCGGAGACCTCAAGAAAGAGGCAGAGGAACGCATGGAAGCGCAGACGGAGGTGACTGCAGAGTTGAATCAAGGACTTGATGCAGCCAGAGAAGTACTAGGAAAGTCCTTGGAGGTGAACAGTATGCTGGAAAGTGTGACGCAGAATCTGCAGCAAAGCTGCGATACTGCAATGCTGAATCGCTACTTTGGTGCACAAGATACATCAGTGAAGAATAAGCAGCTGTTGATGCTTAAAAGCATGATGGACAAAGCTGCAGCAAAGAAGACGCCAATGACCTCAGGGTCAGCAGCAAGCGGGCCCCAAGAGAGGTGAGAGGCACGGACAAGCCATCCGTGCCAGAGGGCGAGCCACCTCAAAAGAAACAAGATGTAAAGTTGAAGCCAGAGCCGAGGCGTGTGCCGTCAGTCCTCCAGGCCAAAGACAAAGTGCCAAAGGAGGAAAAGAAGGATGAAAAAGACAAAGGAAGAGGGTCGACTGACCCGGCACTCGCAAATGTGAATCCAAAGTGGCTTAACAAGCCAAAGGATGACGATGAAAGAGATGAAAAGAAAGGAGGAAGAGAAAGAGGAGAAAAGTATGTGAGATGCTTCTATTGCAGCAGTAGCACGCATAAAGCAAAGGATTGTGAGGCCATGTGGGCAAGCATCAAGGCCCGCACGCGTGACTGGCCGAAGGCCGATGTGAGGCAGCAGTACCGGGCAAATTTATTCTGCGAGGTTTGCTATGACCTTGGAAAGGGGTTTACACTACCCAGCCCAGCAGAAGAAGGAGGCCGCAAACGCATATATGCGGGCTGGGGTGCGCGTACTTATCAGACATGCTTCCACTATTTAGATATGAAAGAGGGAAGCCCAGAGCAGTTGAAATATGCGAACCCGGCAGCACTGCAGTCGAAGCAGCCGGTGAAAACGAAAAAGGACCGAGCCGTTGATCCCGACCCGCTATTAGAAACCTCAATGCGGAAGTACCTATTAGGCAGGTGAGTTTGCAGGACTGAGAGTAGCTGGGGTTTTGCCGTGGGACGTCAGTACACAATAGGTCTGTGCCGGTGGCCGGGGCAACTAGCTGGACGCTTCCTTCAAGGGCCTGGGGTTGGGCAACCGCGGGAGTTTTACCTCCAGCCTGGAAGAGGATTGCACACAGGCGAGCCCTGCTAATGTCGGCTGGGACAAGAAAAGACTGGCGGCGTCCTGGGGAAAGTACTAAGATTCTAAACATATGCGCGGCCTCCTGTAACGTACCTAAGCGATCTTCAGCTGACCCAGAGTCGAGGTCAAACGCAATGCTATGTGAAAGGCACAGATGTGCCATGGCAGTGGCAAGGCCAGGGGCATACTGCGCCAGTGGGTCCACGGAGACGATCAATGTTCCCTCGGCGCCTTCAACGTGGGCATGAGGGGTGGGCAGCTCGTGACTGTCTGGTGGGCCCCCAAAACCAAGAACAAAGGCACATGTGCGACCGCGCAGTCAGCCCTTAGGATCACATGTGCAGAAGGGTCATCAGGCCGTGCTCGGCCATCATATCATAAAGTGTGCGCCCTTAGATTGACATAGACTACGGCACCTGACGCATGATTGCTCCATGATAGCTTGAGTAGCGACACAAAGAGGAGGTGTCGTAGGGCTGGCAGAAGAGAGGAGTATACCGCCGCCATGATGCCGAAGGACAACAACATACGGGATCTGTCCATCCCGGCGCTGGACTGCCAAAAACTGGTTTGGCGGGAGCGCTTCCAAGCAGGCTCCCATCCGACAAACAACCCGACCCCGAGAAGCAAGATTATCTGAAATGGAGCTATTCTCAAAGGCCCTTCCGGCAAGAGTGATGCCCGCCGAAGAGAGGGCAGTTTCCCAGGATCCACTACGAAAGTGAAGACCGTTATGCAAGACAACACTAGTAGATCCCTCCGGCACGTAAGGCTCCAGCGAGGTGCCGCGGCCGCGACGCAGGCAGGACATCGCGTCGGGGCCTCGGAAAGGGGCAGCAGCCACATGGAGAGTACAGACAAGCCAGATAAAGAGGACCCCTCGGAACTGTCTGCGAAGCGACCTGGCTGGCAAAACCAAGTCCACACCTCAGCAAGGAAGGGCACACTTCCGCTCCGCCGTCCGACCAAAAGGCCAATCATATGTACAACTAACAGCCACGGAACTAAACTATAAACCGCTACACAGGCAAAGCTGTACATCCGCAATCGAAAACGACACCTCATAGTCCGTCCGGCATGTTCTGTGTTGTCTTTGCACATATGGGTCCGTGTGCGTCCTCAAATCACGGCTGGGATCGCTGTGCTGAGATGTGTCCCCGAACTAGTCCAGGGCGCTCGAGAAGCAGAGTGGGATACAGCCACTCTGGTGCCGTGGTAGGCCCAAAAGAATATCTGGAAGGAGGCCAAGAGACACTTGGATGGCGACCATCAAGCTGTGCGGTATAGCTGGGAGGGCATTGGGGCACAGCCGCAGCCGTTGAATTTCCTGAATGGTGACCATCATGTGCTCCATCCCCCGTTCGGTCCTGGAGGCATGTACGGCGAGGAGCTCCTGCCAGAGAGAAGGAGCTGCTGCAACCACATCCTGTTGTCCGACAAGGTCTGGCTGAAGGGGCCAAATAGCATCCTGAGCAGCATCCACCGCGAGCTCTCCAATAAGATTCTCGCCGTTCGGGACGACATGTTCCATCCATGCCGAAAATCAAGCACCCTGTCCTGCGACAGTCGAGTCCACTGCCGGGAGAAGTTCTGTGTCGTCCGTGTTGTCGATCTGTGTCTGGGGCTCCGGAGTTCTGGCAGTGGCTGTCACCGGCCAAGGGGACACGAGATCCCTGCGAGGGCTCCTGCTTGGGCGTTCAACAGTAGCTCGACCTGACCTTCGGGCACAGGCGCACCACCACCACCACACATGCCACCACCGAAAGGAAGAGCACCGCAGAGCTGGCACCACCCATGTGAGGGGTGGAGCGCCTGCATGCAGATATTCCAGCCCCGCGGGAGCTCCGGCCAGGAAGACGAGCGAGCCCTGCGGGCCTTAAGGATCCCACTCGGTGCAGCAGCAGGGCGAAGAGCGGATAGTGCCACGGCCGGAGCTTCTACATTGTAACTACCTTGGCCCCCTGGCACCACGCTGAAGCAATGCACCAGGCCCACCAAATGCTGTCCGATCGTAGCCGCCCAGGAGGAAAGGGACTCGGCAAGCTCGGTTTTGGCCCGAAGATTGCCTCTGATGAGCAGTGGCGCGTCTCTGTGTTTGTTGCTCTGCTGTCTGGTCGCCCAAGGTCATGGTAGGAGAGCCCCAAATATCCTGAGGATGCCTCGAAGTAATTGCCTGCAGAGACACGATCATAGCTGACGGGAGGACAAAGTCGAGCTGCGACACCTTGGGTACAGCATCCGCACTTTTTGCTCCGCCCTTCCCGGCACGTTGGGTCGATTGGGCCCCCTTGAGTGCCATGCTGCCGTGATGGTCCTGCAGCATCTGTACAGCTCCCAGAGACCAACGCCCTTGCCTCAAATTGAGGCACGCTTTGGCGCGTGCCCGCCTCTTGCGACGATGCCACCCAGGGCTGGGCCCTCGCTGGACCCTTTTCCGGCGCGTGATTGTCACTACCAACCCAGAGTAGTAAAAAACCCACAACAAGTAGTCGAGCGATGGGAAGGTACCCGCGGGCACCACTCCTGTAACCGCAGCCAAACGTCAGCACAGTGAAGTGCAGTGACAGGCAGCGATGGCCTAAGCCACATGATAAATCCAGTGCAGGAGCCTTAGGAGGCCGACAGCGTCGCCGCTATCCGAAGCGGCTGGGGTCGGGTATGCAAGTGTGTCCTTGCAACGCCTCAGGGCGACGCAATTCAAACCTTGCTCGAGCCACAACGCCTAATGTCCCAAACCCCAAATCCTAAACTCCCTAAGATGTGAAACGCACCCTACTAAACCATAGTCCAGCACAAGCGCATCCAGCTCTCCTGGATAGAGTCCCATCAAGAGGCCCTTCAGACAGGAATTTGGTTGAGAGGGCGTTCGAGGCTTTCAGAGCCAGTCGTGCCATCGAGGCCAAACTCGTAGGATTCCGGGAATTCCGGTTTTTTGTAGCGGTATCGCTTCACAAGAAAATTAATAAGCTCGTAAAAATCCTGAACCAAAGGTCAAAAAATCTCAATATCCGGCCTGCCAGCAGCATTTCTCCGTTTCAACCGCACAATGTAAGGTCTGAGATGCCAGAAGTTCCACCGGGAAAAGGTTGTTGATGATGGCGGTGGTGGTGATGATGATGGTGATTGCAACTGATTTGTACATGGACCTGATACCAAGTGTTGATTTTGCCGATGTTGCGCCGCCTGTGAAGGCCAACGAGGAGCTCACCACCTTGTGGCTGCAGCTTGGGCAGAAGCAACTGCCTTCATACCGACACGCCTGTGCTCTTGCGACAGCGCACAAATCGCTGCCGCAGTCGCTCTTGACGAGCGGCTTGTGTGGTTTATGGATGGAGCAGCTCGAAGCACTTGCCTGTCAAGATGGACCCCTGACATGCAGGCCCAGTGATATTGAGCAAGCAGTGCAACTCCTGGTCAAGATGTCCTCGGATGATGCAGTGCTCCTGATCCAGCATGTCATGGCACTCTGCGACGAACAACTGCAGCCGGAGGAGTATTTAGAGATGTGAGATCCGATTTCAACTTCCAGCTTTCTGCTTCAGAGTAAGCAGACCGAATTCGAATATCCGACGCAATCCTTGGGTGGCTGAAAGTTATGTTGTGAAGGAATCTGTCTAAGCTGTCGCTACATACGGGAATTTACTTATGACTGGGGCTTCCGGTCCTTATGATAGGAGCTTACTTCTCAGCATCCCCTCAATTTCGAAACCCGTATGTCTTTGCAGTGTGAACCGCGCAAGCTGTTCCGGCTTGGCCGTGTGATTGTGCCGGTCGCTCATGCAACTCCAGCATGTTGATCTTGTGATCTGTGCACCAAATCTGCATCTTGCAGGGATTTCTTACAAGAAAGGAGTCCTTGCATCATGAAATTCAACGGGTGTGCACGAAAAGTGCCCTCGAACATCGTTTCACAAAAACCTGCTAATGCTCTCGGGATTCGATATGGCAGCCTCTACCCGAAAATCTAAAGCCTAAACTCCACACCCTAAGCCGTAAATCTTAAGCCTTGAACCCTAAGCTGTAAGCCCTATCTCCAGCTAGCATCGGGTGGAACTGCCTTTCGCTCAAACGTCTGGTGCTTCCAAAAGGCTGGCAATCGGGCCAGTCTTTTCCACGGAAAAAGGTTTAGAGTTGTTTAGGGTGTAGGACAGGCACAGGCGCGCGTGGTCATGTTCTGCCCAGCTTGACTTGTGGAGTGCGGCGCAAGTTCGTGGGCCGTCGACCCAGGTTTAGAGCTTGCAGCCTTTAGGGATGGCGGTGAAAATGCCCGCAGTCAACAGCGATCCTGAGACACATTCCTACTACCCTGCAGCATTTGTAGGCACAGGTTCTGGCCCTTTTCATCGACGGTCGCAGGCGTCAGGCGTAGTTGCAGTCAAGCTGGTCAGTGGTGCTTACGTTGCAAAAAGCTTGCTTAGAAGGGTCGGGTCTGGACGGTCTCCATGTCTTCGCTCGGCGTGGTAAAGCTTAATCGCGAGACCCCCTTAAGCCTGTCCCAGAGAACCCTTACAGAAGCATCATAGAACCACATGAAATCCTTATTCTCAAGCTTGCATCTGCCCGATAGAAGCTCGAACGTTAGCTATGCTTTCATTGGCGATGTCCTGGCGGATTTGCATCGGTGCCGTGCTTGCAGGTGTCTGGGCTTCAATGCGATGCACTCCCCTAAACCTTCACCTCTAAATCCAGGTAAGCGCCAAAAGCGACATCGTCAAAGCTGCTTGAAGCATGTCCCGTTTAGGGTTTAGGGTTGAAGCATGTCCCGTTTAGGGTTTAGGGCTGTGGGTTTCATACCTCCAAACCCTGGGTCCGACACACTCTCTTAAATCCGTGGACTCAACCCGAAATCCCTGAGCATCGAGCAGGAAACTGATGGTTGCACACCGTTTCATTGCAGATGCGAGGTTGAACGTGGCAAAGGTGGACTTACCTTGCGCAGTTTTCCCTTTTTCTTCAGTATCTCAGGTGTCGTGTAGACAAAGTGACAAGACCTCGTGATACTACGCAGCACAATCGTCCATGCAGTTTCCAGTGATCGCGTGTCGGAACTCCCAATCAGCCCAGTGAGGGTTTCTGGCGTCAGGCTTCTGAGGGGCTCCGCCTTAGCAGGTATTTTGTAGGGTTCTATTGGGCTTTTGTTGCGTTCTTCTGGGTTTTCTGGGATTTTGAAGTAGCGAGTTGCAAGCCAGAGCCCCTAGATTTTCCACTCCAAAGCAGCAAACCTCCACCACTCTCATTACTCTTCGACTTGTGACCCTCAGCCCTGACCCTACGTACACCCCTGAACCTAAACCCTAAACCCTAAACCCTAAACCCTAAACCTTAAACCCTGAACCTGTAGACCTAAGCTTTACAGCCCAAACTCCTAAAGCCCTGCAACTCCAATACGAAATCTTTTTGTTTTAGTCGATGAAGCAGAGTCTGTAGCCCTTTAAGCAGTAAGCCCACAACACCACGGACCCTGGCCTTAAGAGGAGAAGGTAGAGGGTGCAGGCAAGCCATCCAAAACAGAGGCCAGAGCTTCGAGAAAACAGGTTCTGTAGGGAGGCCAAAATGCTAAGACAGATAGGTTCTGTAGGGTCCAGCTTGGTCCAGGAAGGAACAGAAGAGTAGGTCCAGTTCCCGGCTTCCCAACAATGCCCCCGAAGCCCACAACAGCAACCTTACACCGAAAGCCAAGCCTAAAATCTTAAATCCATTCGACAACAGGGCTCTCATTGTCCGGGACGGACGTGGGGGAAGACCCCCAGGTCCTTCTGCAGCAGCATCGGCCCGTGACCCAGACGTTTCCATTCTTGTTTCATACTCAATGTGTTTCATAAACAAGTACATAAGTCAACCAATAAGTGTATAACCGCATACTTGCATATATATATATATATATACACACACATACACACACACACCCATACACACAGGCATACAAACATACAGACGGATGTGCGGACCGGCAGGCACACATGCAGGCAGGCAGGCAAACAGACAGACAGACGACAGACAGTCAGACTGCTGCTGCTGCTGCTGCTGCTGCTGCTGCTGCTGCTGCTGCTGCTGCTGTCGCTGGTCTCATCTGATATTCGCGACTTCCAGATGACCCATACTACTTGTCTGAAATCCCACCATTATGACAGCTTTCGTCTGGGCCGCTTATATACCAGTCCACCTTTAAGTTGATTCGGTTTTTAGGGCTTAGCGGATAGGGGTTCGAGTGTTGAATGTAGGAATCCCTAAACCCAAGCCTTGTTTGCATGACAGCCATCTCTCCACTCCACTCGAGATGCAACGGCTAAGCTCTACCGTTGTGCACCCAAAGCCCTATTAACCCCGAAGCCCTACCCTTTTTGACATCTTGCGTAGACTTGGTGATCTTGGTGATCTGACATTGGTTGCGGGCTTCGGGAATAGGGTTTCGGGTTGGGGCTGACGCTTTAGGGACTATTGTTACTTGGAGGTTCATGGGTAGTTACAAGTCGGGTTATAACTAGGGTAACTATACTTATAACTTAGATGAGGGAGCTTATAACCCTACTTATAACTGCCCATGAACCTCCAAGTAAGGCAATCAAAATTGAGAAAACAGCACTGCTACCCACAACTTTGCTAGGCGCTACAGTGTCCTGTCGAGGTTCTAGCGAGGCTGTAGCCAGGCAACATTGCAGTACGGGCATACGGAGAGTAAGTGGACAGTATCAAGAATGGCCTCCGCATGAGTTGCTGAGACCGGAACTATTGGGCCGTGCTTTTGCCTTGCTTGCAAAAGCCTCAATGCCCTCAAGCATATCCTTTCTTGACCCTAAACCCCTAAACCCTAAACCTTAAACCCTAAACCCTAAAAAGTACCTTAAGCCCTAAACCTTAAAAAAGACCTCAAACCCTAAACCCTAAGAAAAGACTTGAAACCCTAAGCCCTAAGCCGCTGGATGGAAGGAACTTTGGATCCTTGCAGTCCACCACGAGCACGTGCACAAACACACCATGGGAGTTTCGCTTGCAACATGGGAGTTTCCGAAAATTGGGGGTACCTTATTTTGGGGTCCTTATGATAAGGATCCTACTATTTAGGGTACCTATATTAGGGTCCCCTATTTTCGGAAAGCCCTACATGAAGCCCTCTGGGGTCTCAGGGTTTGAGGGCTTTTAGGGCTTTAGGGTTTTAGGGGTTTGAGGGTCTTTAGGCTTTAGGGTCTCAGGGTTTGAGGGTTTTTAGGGTTTTAGGGTTCAGGGTTTAGGGTTTTAGGGTTTAGCGGTTTAGGGTACAGGGTCTAGGTTTTAGGGTTTTAGGGTTGAGGGTCCCAGAGTCTTAAAAGGGTTTTAGGGTGTTAGGGTTCAGGGAGTAGGCTGAGATTCCAGAACTTCGGCCTCTTGAGGTTTAGGGATTGAAATTCAAGGTTTAGGGTGTTTAGGTTTCAGGATTTCGGGTTTAGGGTCTAGGAGTTTAGGGTTAAGGATTTAGGGTTTAGGAGCTAGGAGTTTATGGTAGTGGAGGGTTTAGGGATCAGGCTTGTAAGGTTGAGGGATAAACGTATGGCATAGAAACCCCACAGAACCTCAAACCGCTTTTGAACCCTTCAAGCAAATCATAGAAGTCGTAGAGACCTTCAAAAAAGGCTTAGCACAACAACTTCTATATTGCCCTTAAAGAACTGTGTCAGCCCCTTCACAAATATCACATAGATCTATCAGCGCCTCGATGCCGAGCCGTCGGCTAAAACCATAAGCCCTAAACGCGGAGCCTTTTAAGCTGAGGGCCTGTCCCTAGCCATCAACTTTCCTAAAACTGAAAGCCCTAACCCCTAAAGGGCTGCGAGGTTTTGGGAGTGTAATCTTAGAGCCAATCTTCCTGCCCAAAGCATGCCTTGGCTGCTCGCCTCACTACCTTCTCTTCGAGCTTATAATGTAATCGCACAGTGAATGGGATAGCGTGTGTAACTTAGTTTTTGTCTTGGACCCCTAAACCCAAAAACCTGAACCCCAAAGCCTAAACCCTAAACCCTAAACCCTAAACCCTAAACCCTAAACCCTAAACCCAAAAGCCTAAACCCTAAACCCTAAACCCAAAAACCTGAACCCAAAGCCTAAACCCTAAACCCTAAACCCTAAACCCTAAACCCCAAAGCCTAAACCCTAAACCCTAAACCCAAAAACCTGAACCCCAAAGCCTAAACCTTCAACTCGAAGCTCTAAGCTACGCTTAGGCCACTACAGCTAACGGCCTAAACCCTAACCCTAAAGCTGACCAGAGGCACGGATCAGCCTAGTGCTTGGGTTTAGCTAAGTTCAGGGTTTAGGGTTTATAGGGTTCAGGCCCTCAAGCAAAATATAAGGCTGGCCATACAGACCCTAATTTAGCTTCTGGGGCCGAGCTTTATTTCAACCCTCCTCGACCCGATGTCCTTCGGTTGGTTATGCGATTTAGGTTGGAGGGTTTCTGGTCGAGGATTCCCAAACGGTATTTAGGGTTTAGGGGTTGAGGGTTTAGCGTTTAGGGGCTTGGGGTTTGGGGTTTAGG